AGTATCATAGAATTCAGATCACGTTATTAGCGAATTGTTAATTGCAGTATGCATAGCAAATCAAGTCAAATTATTACTGTTGTTTATAGCAGCGGCAGCAGGAAGTATCTGGTTGTAACTTACATGAAATTTCAGTGATAACGCATGGGGTAAAGTAACTCTTAAAATGAAATGGGCTTTTATAACTTCGTTTATTTACCAGGGCGTACAGGGATTTTGTGAACTCTTCAAAGCGAAATAGGCATTATTTGTTTGCGTTTCATTGTTTAATAAAGACGCTTATAGTAATTCTAAGTACTTTCGTGCAGCTGTAGCAGTAGTAATGCATGGATGAGCTACAGCAATTCTGGTACTTTCACAGAGTGTAGCAGCAGTATCCACAGAATTTCAGATTGCATTATTAGCTAATTATTAATAGCAGTATGCATAGCAAATCAAATTATGCATTTAGTTGCGGCAGCGTGAATTTTAACAGCAGCAGCACGCATGGCAAAATTCAGATGCAATGTTAGAAATGTTAGCAGCAGTCTGCATGGCAATCCAATTATCACTGTTGCTAATATATCAGCGGCAACATGCATAGCAAGTCATTATTATGGCTAATATAGCAGCAGAAAGCACTTTAGTTGCATAAAATTTTAGTGATAACTCATGGAGGGTAAATTAACTCTTTAAAGTGCAATAGGTATTTATTACTTTGCTAATTCAACAGGGCTTACAGCAGGTTTTGTGCAGCAGCAGTAGATTATGCTTCGCAAATTCTGATTAAATATTACAACCGCAACAGCTCGCACAATAATCACTGATGGTACTTTATTTATTAATGTATTTATTTTGTCATTTATTTACATATTATACAATCAACATCCCATTTAAGCATTTATATGAGCATGGATGTGACTATTTATTTATTTGTTTACTTGAATAGGACATTAGCTGTATAATATTTAAGTTTTATATGTGCATGAACGTGACTGTTTCTTTCTTTCTTTATATAACTGGTCTAAAGTTGAGAATAATTAAGATCTTTGAATGTTTTTGACAGATGTGTCTTCTGCTCACGAAGGCTGCATTATTTGCTCAAAAATATATTCAAAACAGTAATATTGAAAAAATATATACAATATGTGACCCTGGACCACAAAACCAGTCTTAAGTGTCAATTTTTTGAAATTGAGATGTATACATAATCTGAAAGTTGAATAAATAAGCTTTCCATTGATGTATAGTTTGTTATGATAGGACAATATTTGGCTGAGATACAACTATTTGAAAATCTGGAATCTGAGGGTGCAAAAAAATCTAAATATTGAGAAAATCGTCTTTAAAGTTATAAACAAATAAAGTTCTTAGCAATGCATATTACTAATCAAAAATGAAGTTTTTATATACTTAACATATAATTGATATACATTTTACATACACATGCATATATTCACTCAGGCCAGGGTACACACCATAATTAAGTAGATATATTAAAGTAAACTAAAGGATTTTTCATGAACATTTTCTCATTAACACACGTCACGTGTTTTTTTAATAACTCACCCTGAGACTCAAACTGCTCAATGGCCTCCTTCAGAGCTTCGCTCTCCTCCAAGTCAAACTCCTCGATGTTTTCTCTGACCACTGCATCAAAGGTCTCCTGTGTTATTCTGCGTGTGGCCATGACTGCAGCAGCTGCTGGAAAACATCACAACAGAGCTTCAGTGCTTTGGCTTGGCTTTCATAGCCTGGCAACCAATGCATTCAAAAGAGATTGCGTTTGGTTTATTTGGTTTAGGACATGCAACTAAGGCAGATAGGTTACACTAACAAAAAGCACAATAGGGTTACCATGGTTTTTGAAGATGTACCATGGTAATATGCAGTAAAGTACCTTACAGAAATATGAAAATAGCACAGCACATTTGGTAATCACTCAATAATAGTATGCTATATATCACATTACTCTGGTATTAGCATCACTGACTGCACCATGGTACCGACACAATTCACGTGATTAACACAAAAACGTTATTTATTATCGTGAATCACTCGCCGTTAGTTACACTACCTGTGCGTAACATTCACTCGAACCCAAAGCAAAACAAGCCGGTTTAACACAAAACTGATAATAATCCTGAAACTCGCCAACACCCAGCCAGCCTGGACCCTTGTGATAAAAGGCTCCCTGGAGAACAGTGGACAGTACGCTAAAAGCGTAAGCATAGAACAGCGTGTGAACGTAACGCAATTTAACTGACGCAAGCGCTTCGTGAATTAAAGCAAAGCGTAGCGTTGCGTTTTCTTTAATGTGGCTCGGGTGAGATTCGCGAGAGAAAATAGGTTCCGCTTCATAAACGCATGGATGTAGACAGACAAAACATTGTTCATATTTTTAAAAAAAAAGTCGTATGCAACTGATATAACTGATATTCCACAAATTAATGTTTATTTAAAGTAGCTTGAGGCTAATTTGGGTATATATTTACACTTATCTAAATAATGATTAATGACCCTTTTCGAAACAAATTTACATTAGCCTAGCAATTTTACTTTTTAATACTCTTCACAATATTGTATTGCAATTGTTAAACAAATAAACCATTAAATTATTTAAATGTATAATAAAATTATTTATTTATTGCAATTTAACAACTGATGTCCTATTTAAGCATTTATATTTGCATGTTTATTTATTCTGTTATTTACATAAATATTATGCAACTAATGTTCTATTTAAGCATTTATATGAGCATGTATTTGACTACTCACTTATTTACTTATTCTGTTGCTTGCTTCAATATTATATAATGCCCCACTTTATTTATATGTGCTTGAATGTGACTATTTCTTTATTTATTTAGTACATAATTTATACTGTTATTTACTGAAATATTATACAATTAATGTCCCATTTAATAATTTATATGAGTTATTTATTTATTTATTTATTTTCTTAGCTATTAGACAATTAATTTCCTATTTAAGCATTTTATGTGTATGGATATGTTTGTTTTATTTATGTATTTATTTAATTATTCTGTTTTTTACCTAAATATTACATAACTAATTTCATATTTGACCATTTTATGTGTATGTGTGTCTAATTTATTTATTTATTTACTTAGTTATTCTGTTTTTTTACTTAAATATTATATAACTGTCTTATTTAAGCATTTCTATGTGCATGTATTTGACTACTTACTTATTTACTTATTCTGTTGCTTACTTAAATATTATATAATGGCCCACTTTATTAATATGTGACTATTTCTTTCTTTCTTTCTTTAATTTTTTATACTGTTATTTACTTAAATATTATACAATTACTGTCTCATTTAATAATTTATATGAGCATTGATGTGATTATTTATTTAGTTATTTACTTAACTATTAGACAATTCATTTTTTATTTATTTATTTATTTATTTTAGTGCTGTCAAATGAGTAATCGTGATTAATCACATCCAAAACAAAAGTTTGTGTTTATATAATATATGTGTGTGCTGTGTATATTTATTATGCACATAAAAATATACACACATAAATATATTTAATATATATTTAAGAAAAATATGTTGTATTTATATATAAAATATATATATACCGTCTGGTGCGCAGTCAAAGCGCCCATCAAAAACTCTCGCCCGTCCACATCCAGCAGATCCGGCTGGCCGTCTGTTAGCGCAGAGAGCGCGGTGAGAGCGACGGAAAGGGCTTCCTTCTCTCCAGCGGCTCTCTGGCAGCAGGCGAGGATCGTGGGATACGCCTCTTTTTGAGCGGCCAAGTATCGCTGTGCGAAGCCGAGAGAGCACTGCTGGGTGAAGGCTCTCAGATCCTCCAGAACGGATGCGGACGATGAAGCCACTGCAGTTTTGAGAGACTCCAAAGCCTGGAAATACGCCACCGATAACACTGTTAAACACAAAACACGCCCGTCTCTGTGGAAGTGAGGTCAGTTCTGTAGCATAAACATCTCGTGTGAAGAGTAGTAGTAAACAGTTGTGCTCATAAGTTTACATACCCCTTGCAGAATGTGCAAAATGTTAATAATTGAAGCAAAATAAGAGGGATCATGAAAATTGCATGTTATTTTTTATGTAGTACTGTCCCGAATAAGCTATTTCACAGAGCTTCAGTGCTTTGGCTTGGCTTTCATAGCCTGGCAACCAATGCATTCAAAAGAGATTGCGTTTGGTTTATTTGGTTTAGGACATGCAACTAAGGCAGATAGGTTACACTAACAAAAAGCACAATAGGGTTACCATGGTTTTTGAAGATGTACCATGGTAATATGCAGTAAAGTACCTTACAGAAATATGAAAATAGCACAGCACATTTGGTAATCACTCAATAATAGTATGCTATATATCACATTACTCTGGTATTAGCATCACTGACTGCACCATGGTACCGAAACAATTCACGTGATTAACACAAAAACGTTATTTATTACCGTGAATCACTTGCCGTTAGTTACACTACCTGAGCGTAACATTCACTCGAACCCAAAGCAAAACAAGCCGGTTTAACACAAAACTGATAATAATCCTGAAACTCGCCAACACCCAGCCAGCCTGGACCCTTGTGATAAAAGGCTCCCTGGAGAACAGTGGACAGTACGCTAAAAGCGTAAGCATAGAACAGCGTGTGAACGTAACGCAATTTAACTGACGCAAGCGCTTCGTGAATTAAAGCAAAGCGTAGCGTTGCGTTTTCTTTAATGTGGCTCGGGTGAGATTCGCGAGAGAAAATAGGTTCCGCTTCATAAACGCATGGATGTAGACAGACAAAACATTGTTCATATTTTAAAAAAAAGTCGTATGCAACTGATATAACTGATATTCCACAAATTAATGTTTATTTAAAGTAGCTTGAGGCTAATTTGGGTATATATTTACACTTATCTAAATAATGATTAATGACCCTTTTCGAAACAAATTTACATTAGCCTAGCAATTTTACTTTTTAATACTCTTCACAATATTGTATTGCAATTGTTAAACAAATAAACCATTAAATTATTTAAATTTATAATAAAATTATTTTATTTATTGCAATTTAACAACTAATGTTCTATTTAAGCATTTATATGTGCATGTATTTGACTACTCACTTATTTACTTATTCTGTTATTTACTGAAATATTATACAATTAATGTCCCATTTAATAATTTATATGAGCATTGATATGACTATTTATTTATTTATTTTCTTAACTATTAGACTATTAATTTCCTATTTAAGCATTTTATGTGTATGGATATGTTTGTTTTATTTATGTATTTATTTACTTATTCTGTTTTTTACCTAAATATTACATAACTAATTTCATATTTGACCATTTTATGTGTATGTGTGTCTAATTTATTTATTTATTTACTTAGTTATTCTGTTTTTTTACTTAAATATTATATAACTGTCTTATTTAAGCATTTCTATGTGCATGTATTTGACTACTTACTTATTTACTTATTCTGTTGCTTACTTAAATATTATATAATGGCCCACTTTATTAATATGTGACTATTTCTTTCTTTCTTTCTTTAATTTTTTATACTGTTATTTACTTAAATATTATACAATTACTGTCTCATTTAATAATTTATATGAGCATTGATGTGATTATTTATTTAGTTATTTAGTTATTTACTTAACTATTAGACAATTCATT